TACGCCAATGTGTGTGATTACGCGCGCACGTCGTTTGACCCTGCGTCGCGGTCTCGTGGATCCCCAGGGTCGCGCAATACGGTAGTGTAACGAAGTACGAGATGTGTCATATTGACCCCTGCTTAATGCGAAGAGTAAAGAAGGCGGGCGGAATGATGCGCGTGCAAAACTTTTCGAGACACCTTTTTGCGCCATTATTAATGCCATTATGCATGTCGGGCCGAAATCGATTGAATAAAGCATTAACACCCGACTCTCGGTGCGTTACCTAACATCGGGTAAATTAAACACGGTTGTCTCTCGGAATATTTCAGCGCGGTTTTCGTTACCGAAAAGTGTTTGCATTACGAATCTAGTTTATTTTCAAGGCTCGCGCGCGCGCGCGCGCGCGCGCACACCGCGCGTTCCTTCGCTGTGAATTTAAGTATACGTGCAATTATATACGTAACATGTAACGATCACGGAAAGTCTGTTTATTACCGGAAAATTATTTGCGAAACGAGGATTTCGTAAGCTCGCATGAAATGAAGAATGAAGGCCGCTCTCGGCATTAGAGTGCCAACGGAAATTACGAGAAATTAGACTAAAATATTTCGGCATGCTAAATTTACGAATTGGACAGTGACGAATATACACATTAACGATCTATTGCCAAGCTCGATGTGTGTACAACAAAATTGCACACATTGTTTGTAGAAATGTTTTCCACGTCGTGTTTCTACGATGCTCGCCCATTCAAAATGCCAGCTCGGAAAATGTGACCGCGGCTGCACGACATTTGTAACGTAAAGTATAACATCTCATTAAAGTATAACAGTGGAATAAATAAATATGGTAAAATTTAAATTAATAATTTTTTTCCATCGCACACATCTGTCGTCATTCACCGACGGAATATTGGCAGAATATGCGTGCTGATTAAGAGTTCACTTGTTTATCAATTCAATGAAACCGGATTTTATATCAGCCACGTGAAGCCGAGTCCGGGTGAAAATAAATGCGGAAACAGCCGATAAAATACGGTGTATGCATTACTTTCAGCCTTGATTCGTCTTATCGCAAGGCCAGCTTTCGGAAACATGCCTAGTGGAAGAGGTCAACGTAGCATGTTGCGCCATTTCGGCACGTGGATCGTTATGATATTATACATTATTGCTGCCCAGATCGGAAAGAAGTGCGTAACGCAAGCTATATTGCAAAATAATCTGTCTGTTTATAAAATGCGACTTACAAGAGATATTTGCGATTAGTTGAAGCACTGTGTGATATAAATATGTTGATAAGATTCCAAATATCAGTTATCGTTCATGTTTAATATAAAAGTCGGTGCAAAATGTGGCGTCAATCATTGACATCTATTAAAATTGTAGAAAATTGTGTTAAGTTGCCCACCTAATTCTCTGTTCATTCGTTTCAATGCTTGAGAAAGTAGAAAATAATAATAAATTACGCCTATCGCAAACAATCACGGAACGTCTTCCTCAGTTCTTTTTATTCACTTATATCTCACTTATTGCGAACTTATTGAAACGTTTACCGAACGGCCTGGTTTTTGCAATTCTGGCGCAACCCCGTGCGAAAAATTGCAATCTCACCTCGGCTCACAATGTCAGCTAACAACCTTGGCCTTACCGAATAACCTTGGTCTGGTGAATTAATTATTTGTTTAATATTTAAATGTGTATATAACTTTATGATAGCACACACATGCAATTACAAAATTTGTATTTATTAAAATATTTATTTTGACACACATTTATTAAATATTCATTCAATGTATAAGCGTATTAAATACTTATACAATTTATTTTATATAATTATATTGTAATTAAAATATAAATAATTAAGTATAAATTAAACTAAGTATCAAAATTAAGTATAAATATAAATTAAATATAAATAATAATACATAACAATCCAAATAAATATGTGAAATGCGTGATATAATTCATAACTAAAATGTACATTAACTTTTCCAGGCGCAACTGAGCGTATTTAGCTAGAATACAACAACCTGTGAGTGAATGATTTTATTTATTATACTTGCGCAATTACGCAATTAATATTGTATTTATTGTACTGCAAACAATAATATAACGAATAAACAATATAATGGATCAGTCGCTTATCGGTTTTTGCACCCTAGTTTAATATACCTTCAGCTTATTGTATAATTATTAATGCAACTATTTTAATTATTACATTTTGTCAGAAAGAGGACAGCAAATTTTAATAAGAGAAGAGAGCTTGAAGATATCGTTAGTTTATTAAAAGAAAAGTTAATAGAATCTAACAAAACTTCAGAAAAAAAACATATTAAATGAAAGTATGCAATGATTAAAATGCATATTTTTAGGCAACTACAAAAAGAATTATATATCTATGAAGTTGACACGATATCTTCACAAGCTCAATTTCTTGACAAGGAGAATATGCACTGTAATACAATACACATAAAGAAACGAAAAATAAATGATAATTGCATTATTGTTGACTCATTGAGTAAATTATTGCATTAAACTAGTTGAATAAAATATTTTGTCTTAAACATATCATTGTAAGAGGAAATCGTCTGACGTCTGAAATCAACAAATATTTGTTGTGTAGGTGATAATTTATAAATAAATTATCATCCTATGACAACAAGTATTGATGCAATAGTTTACTTACTGATATAACAACAAGGCAATTATCATTTTATTTGGTTCCTTTATATGTATTGTATTACATATTCGCCTGCTTGTCGAGAAATTAAGCTTGTAAAGATATCTTTTCAACTTCACAGATATTTAATTCTTTTTGTAGTTGGCTAAAAATATCAAAATAATATTATGTAGGTGTAAAAAAGACAATGATTTAGTTTTAAACACTTCAATCATTACATACTTTCGTTTAATGTATTATTCTTCTGAAACTTTGTCAGATTCTATCAATTTTTTCTCTAATAAACTAATCATATCTTCAAGCTCCCTTCTCGTATTTAAATTGGCCGTCTCTTTTCTGACAAATGTAATAATTAAAATAGTTGCCTTAATAATTATATATATAACTTATATATTATAAGATATATAAGATTAATAAATAATTACAAGATTAAATATGAACATAAAAGTTACATAACATATTTCTCAAATCTATAACAAAATAAACTTAGAAAAAAGCATATTTCTGTAAATGTCCAACTTTTTCCTCTAGTTGTTTGTAATTTTTTTTTTACATTTATCTATATCTACACTTTGCTGTTGAAGAATTTTGCACTTTTTGTTAGATTCCTTTAATTTTTGCTGTAATTGATTAATCGTTTGTTTAAACTCTCTAAGCTTCTTGTTTAAATTGGTCGCCTCTCTGACAAATGTAACAATTAAAATAGTTGTATTAATAATTATATAACTTGTATATTATAAGACATATAAGATTAATAATAAATAATTGCAAGATTAAATATAAATATAAAGGTTACATACATATTTCTCAAATCTATAACAAAATAAATTTTTAAAAAAGCATACTTACTTTTGTAACTTTTTAATTTTTTCCTTTAATCGTTTAGTATATTTCTTATATTCATCTGTCTCTATACAATGCTGTTCGATCAGTCTTTGAAGAGCACAATTTTCGACAACATTGTTGTATAGTGTTTGTCTTAAATTACTTTCCCATTGTTCTAAAAATTGTTTTGTCATCTCTTCATATTTATTCGTTATATTTTCCACCGATTTTATTACAATTGTGTTTATTTTGCAAAATGTTGTATCTTCCACAAAGCTATCATTGTTAGAAGAATTAAAATATATTTTATGTATGTCAAGTTCTGTTGTTCTTTTACGGCATTGTGGACAAGTCTTTATCCTATAAAAACAATATTTAATAAGATTAGATCCTGCATATGTACAAATAACGCATACATTTTCAATAACAGAATATTAATTTCTTTGACAATTAAGAAAATTACCTTTCAAGCCATTGCAGTAAACATCCGTGGTGGAACATATGTCCACATAGTGTACTAAAAATATCATCATCGGATGATATCAGTAAATCACTGCATATAACACACACTAGAGTCATTTTATGCTATTTTGTCAATCAGAAATTTTAGCAAAAATCCAATTTTAGCATAATAATTATGAATAAAAATACACTGTATTAAATGACCGTTGCAGATAATAAAATAGAAAGAATTAAGATATGCAACAATACATTTCGCACAAAAGTACAGAGAAGACTGTTACACGTCGGCAGATACAACGTATAAAATTCGGATAGCTATGGATTTTGAGAGAAGGGGCACATTAACACTGATGTGTATGAGAGAGTATGTGGGATGTAAATAAACCACGGTAGAGACAGATAGAAAAACTATCGAAAATACATTCGCGGGCGAAAGCTGTTGCTTGGAGAAATATAATATTGAGAATCGACAGCGAACATCTGATTTTAAGACGAAAACAGAAACGATAAGATACAGCAAGAAATAATGAGTTTAAACTTACAACAAAAACGATTAATAAAAATAACGATTAATTAGTACGATTTTCGTCCAGCTAATGATACAAGTCGACACAAGTATTATTCTGTCTTTATTCGAGATATCCAATATCTCATTATTAAAATCAGATGTTGTGTCATTGTGCTTGGATGACTTGTGTCATTAACTGAAAAGCGATCAACGTATATAAAAACCATGAAAAAAATCGTTGCAAGCAGCATCATCTGCGCTGTATATTTCTCATCATCGCGCATTGTCAACTCTTATTAGGATATGGTAACACATCAATAAGTAACTCGGGAAGGCCAAGGTTGTTGCGGCCTTGGCGGCCGATCGATGCGACTATCAGCCGGTGCAAGTGCAGCGACGGGGCGATCTGAACTGGTTCTCACGTATTCCCGGTTTAGATCGCGTCGCGTGCATCAGCTGCGACGATTAGTCGCAAAACGTCATAACTGTGTCACGTATCATTGTCGTCTTTTGAGCTTTGATCCTTGGATTCTTCGCGTAAATCGCGCGCGCGTTGTCCGCAAAACTGCGCTTGTCGCAATATTGCGTAGTTTGGTGGCGCCCCGAATTCCGGCGCGGCAAATTGCATTTCGATATTGGAAAGTCCTTTAAACTCGAGATTAAATTTAGTGATACAATATCCTCTTGAAACATTATTACTTGTTGTTAATACATTGATAATACAAGTACAAACGCGTTTTATCGATCATACGATAATAAAGATATAAATTAATTACTGCGTACGCGAGGAAAGAAAGGGCAGCGTTTGAAGTTATTTTTTAACATTGGCTCGTCTGATCCGGTAACCACAAACGCGTTACGGCGAAAGCTACGATTACATCGAGCTGTGGTTTAATAAGTGCGCGACGAAAAGCGCTGATTCGACAGAAACATGAGAAAAGTGCGAGAATTGACGCACGATCTCAGGAAGATCCACGCCGACGAGCATGCGCACCCTCGACCTTGGCACAAGGAAATAACGTCTCTCCGCGGCGCTGTCGAAAGATTGCATAATGTTACGCGAGACGCGGCGACATAATTCCGTTTTACTTCTTTTTCCGCGCTCCTCTCCGCGCAGACAAGTCGCTTTGCCGTCCCGCGCCGCTCTGGGCCCAACGCACTCGTTCGATGAATCTCAGATGCACACAATTTTTCTTTTCAGTTCGACGGAAGCGAATAATCTCGTCGCGATGAATTAAAGAGGCACTGTCCGTGTCCATCGCGAAAAACAGCGACTTCAAGGAAATGGATGCGCCGTATTCAGTTTTACGAACCTACACTAATTGCATGCGTGTGCAACAATACGGATAAAGCAACACGATACAAGAAAGCATTAATGAAAAAAATTATATTTAAAATACACCGAGATGAGTCAAACTTGGACAATTTCAGGAACACCTATTTTTCTTATTGTTCATTGACTTTGAGATAATGCTAATTCTCTCGATAATATTACAAATTATATGATAATATCGTGAATAATTTGTAATCAAGTTGACGGACAACAATAATATATGTAAATTTCACTTCCTTTAAGTTTCACTATCTTAGTTCCAGTCCTAGTTCCAGTCTACCTTACAGAGATACTAAAAAGGAAAAAATAGAGTTTAGTAGAAATTCCTCGCGATAAATTTTGTATTATTTGAAAAAAGCAATTACATATCGTTTTCTTCTCGCTGCTACGGATTCCAACAACTGTTTGACTATTCCAATGCAATAGAAATTCCTCGCGATAAATTTTGTATTAATTTAAAAACCAATGACGTATCGTTTTCTTCTCGCTGCTACGGATTCCAACAACTGTTTGACTATTCCAATTTACACGATATCGTCCACACGCATCGCGTGATACTGCAACGCGCGTTATTAGGAACGCGCGTTAATTACTTCCGGCCTGACGATCATTCGATCATGAACGTTCGTTATAAATGCGACCTTAGATGAGGCCTTGGATACTCCGCGCTAAATTTCAAGCCCGCCGATTTAATCAGCTGGACTTTGCTGCGCGCCCGATGCCCAGCGCTGCACGCGGAAAATATATACGTGCGCGATGTAAATCGGACAAGTTCGACATACCATTAAATATTTAATTCCGTCTGAAAAGGAAGAATGCCGTATGCAAAATAATTGCTCGCATTGTAATTATTGTATCGCAATGAAACTGACAATTTACCTCAAATAGCATCGGCGTTAAATCGAGCCGAGTCTAGTCAGATATCATCGGTTATTTGTCGAACGACCTCGCTCGTACATTCGCGGTCACTTGACGTCAGTTGATGCAAATCGCAGTGCCGACTTATCGATTCCATCTCACGTCACCGCACGATGGATCACCGGACAATGCAATTTGCTGCAAATAGGTGCTACCGTAGAAGACCATTATACTATTGAGAATCACTTTGTTGAAGCGTAATTGCTCGCGATGCACCGCCACTACGGCGAATACAAAAGCTGATAAGTCGTATACTTGCGACATTGTAAAGCATAATAATAAAATGTAGACTTACGAGCGTTGCCGGCGAACGGAAAAACAGCCGGAGCCGGAGCGTATTTTCAAGTGGAATGTTGTGAATAATGTTTTGCGAGTCTATTTTGCAGAACAATCTATTTTAAGCGACGCGTTGTTTATCAAAGATTCTATTATAATTTATTCCTCATTTTCATTTGTAGCTTTTAGAATTTCTGGCTTCATTTAGAGTAGCGTCGTGTTGACAATGAGCGAGACGCGCAACTAAATGGCTGCGTATAGAAAACTTGGCAAAAGTGCTACTGCGTTCTGCTTTTTCACAGCCGCATATATTAGATCCCAACTTAAGACTTGCGTTCGACAGAAAATGCTAAATTTGATCTACTTCAGTTCAATACGCACGAGGGGATGTTCCTGTGTGCAAGGTTTCTCTACGCAAGTTCCGACTAACAAATGGGTTATCGGTTGAGGTCACAATGACAGTAATGTCTGCGGTTGAAGAGTCAAGGATCCGAAACCTTGCGAAGTTTGTTCCAACTGTTACGTACATAAGCGATGTTGCATGATTGGCATAAAATGCCTGCAATAACACACAGCAAACAAATATGTTGTTCAGAAGTGGAATTTTACTAATTGCAAACTGCGAAATTTGAATTTGTGGAATTTTGCGAAAAGAGAGATACGATTTGACAAAACTTTTCAGTCCGTTCATCATTATTTATGGATAATTACGTGTGAGAGAAAAATTTTCAACTTTGTAGAATGCGCGATGATTTAATATCGTGTAAAAATGCATATTAGATTTAGGTCGAACGCCCACGCTTCTTGGCACTGTATATGATATTATGAAATTTTATATATAAAGCCATTTGCATTTTAAAACATTCCAAATTAATGTTTGATAATATTAATTTTAAATAACATTATTTATTGACGACTATGCAGGGTGAAGAATTTGAAAAACGCGCAACAATTTAATGCCGTTTTAGATTTTTAGATTATACTCCTACGCATCTTATATAACATTTTATCACTTACATTCATGTATGCGGTCTGGACGGCCGAATTTAGGTTCATCGCTTTTGGGAGAAGCGAGAAGGGACGAGCCGACATTATTCTCACTGAAAGTTTGTATCCTTGACATACAAAAGCGACTTAACCCGGACAAAGGGGCCATTTCGTTTGCGAATCAAATAGGCTTGGGACAACAATGCCGACGCATAAGACGAACTCGATAGTTTACGACGGCCGCGAAATCGTTTCTTCAAAATTTAACATATCTTGCGTTGGACCATGTTCAATGTTTTACAAAGAGGCAAAAACTATAAAGTCTTCTTTTGAAAAAACGTTGCGCCATTAAAGCGACGGCTATTAATTATTTTAAAAAAGTACTGGTTTACCTTAAAATTTTTGTTTGTCAAAAAGGCGTTTTTAAATAGGCTGTAATGTCTGTTCGGGAGGTAAGCTCTCTGAAACGCTGCTTTATCGCGCGCGAATAGAGGAGCCTTGCGCGAATATATTCTAAAAATTCTGGAACTCATCATTTTCAGGGTCATTGCGTCTCGTCCCCTTCACTTCCGCCGACGACTGGCTGGCTGTTCGACGGTTCCTGATTCGCCTGTAATTTATATTATCAAAAAGGAAACAAGGTAACAGCATTAACGGGCGTAAATGTCACGAGACCGGAAAGATATATCACGATGAGGGAGGTATTACTCAGGCCTTTTTTAATAACAATAATAATAACAATAATCGTCGTATCTAATCATCCACACCGTGAATACGTTGCATTAACATAATGGACAATAATGGACTTGGTTTTTATACGTGCGAGCACTTCGCTCCAGAAAGCCAATATACAGAGCCAGGAGGGATCAAGGCTGCTGCGCAAACAAGAGCTGACTTTTAGCCACGTGTTTACAGTTACTGTGCAGGTATTTGTAGCTTATCAGGCGTTTTAGTATCCTACGTAATTAACATTTCAATCAACGCGCTATGCGCGTGGAATAGTATGACTATAAATGAGACTTGCAAAATGACCTAACATATATCTTTTTTTCTTCTTCGCTCTTTTTTCATGTAAAACAGAATATCATATAAAGCGGAATGTACATCGCGAAATATGGACGCGTTGTACCTTAATTTTCATTCAAAGTTTCGAAACCTTATATCGCGCGTTGCAGCTCCTCGAAAATGATTTGGAGCAATGCCACTTGGGCGTTTCACGTATCTCGTTAGTTATGTTAATTAAATGGAACGAAAATCGGTAAGGTTCCGTCTTGTGGAAGCGCGATTGCGTTATCGCGCTATTCGGCCAATTAAAATCGATCGTTTCGACGTTTGTTGTCCCAATAATTCAGAGAACCAAGGTGAATCCAAGGCCGCGTGGCGCGTTTGTTTAAACGAACAATACGACTCGCATTGATTTGTGACGACGATTCTTCAAGGCTAACCGCAAGAATGCGCTAATATCATATATACATCTTCAAGGAACAATGCGATATTCGTTCTTTCCAAGGTAGACGTGAACTATTCTCTCCGCCTTCGTTCGTGTAATAATCGAGAAGCATTAATTATCTTATCGCTTTATCGCCTGAATTTTATAAGACATTCGGATACATTATTAATCTGACTTCTCGGCGGAATACGAGAGACCTCGGATTCTTGTACCTTCGCATCCTCGAATTCTAGGATCTCCGGTCGTTAAACGTTAGCCAGCCGTTCCAGTATATCTGGAGAACGATGTTTCTTCACGGTTCGAGTCGACCGCTATTTTTAGACGTCATTGACATTTGCACGTAGACACGTTCTGCCGCCCGAATACGCACTACGCGACGGGATCAAACTTATCGCAAATCGTTTTGATCAAGATTCGCCTCAACAAGAGCCAACAAATTTGAGACAGTGCGGAAAAATATTTTCAGCTTTTCAAACTGACAGATAAAGTGATTACGTTTCGCATTAATAATCTTTCGGTGGAAGAAAGCGCTCCGTTTACGTAGACGTTTAAACTCTACCTTACTTTTGATCGATCCCATCACTACTGTAACGCCCTCTCAGTCGCGCACATTTTCGCTGGTCCTCGCCCACGCGTACCCTTCAGAGTACGCTTCTACGGTCGATCGAGCCATAATAATAAGGCAGGGAATATAAACGCGGACTTTTCATTGTTCGTGCTTTGGGTGTTTTGCGATATTTTTGGTGTCTTTCCCCGCGACGGGGGCGGCCGCAGAGGTGAAAAAAAAAAAGACGCGGATGCATCGTGTTTCGCGAATACGATTGTCTCGTTTAGTCTCGGCGCGTAATTTTCTGAAAAGTATGGACCGCAAGCCGTTGGCAAATTTACGATCGCCACTTTTGGCAACAGGCGAAACCTTATCTTTGTAAAATGTGAAAAATCTAGGATTCTCAAATGCGAAATATTTACATTTCTCTGTGCGCAAACGAAAATTCGCGATGGTTCCAATCTATTAATCTGTAGCGTGCACAAGTCAAATAAACTACGAAACCGCGCGTTATGACTTGCATTTGCATATTATAAATATTTGTGATTTGCTTATTAACATTGCACGATATATGATATGAAATATTCTAATTTTGTTAACGGCGTTTATATAATCCTGATGACGTCAATGATCGTAAATTTCTACCTGACAGAACATCATAATCGGATTTAAAATGTTAATCCGTTTATACATTTAAAGGATCTTACAATCAGATAGACTCATTGTAGATTCGTAGAACGATACGCGATAGCGAGAAAGTTTTGCCAACTGGCCGTCAGCTGTTGCAACTGTTTCCTACTATAAAAGTGCGGTGTGGGCGACGCTATAGTAATGCACGGAAGAGCAAAAAAGATGGAATATAATCTGCTTTACTTTCACCGAGCCTCCGCGATAATGTCGATTTCCGACAGTGAGAGTTGTCCACATCTCGCCAATACATTTTGCGCCTCGCGGAATCTACTTTCCTCTTTTTCTCTTTTTAAAAAAATTTAAGTACCGTCCTTTCTCTCGTTCTTTTTCCATTTTCAATACTAAATATTTCAATATAAACACGCGTATCTCTTTTTCTATTAACTTTTTATCCTTAATTATAAATTATATAGCCCTTTTTCGGGAAATGTTAATTTCTCTTATTATTTTTTCATTTTCAAGATTAAATATTTCAATCTAAACACGCATCTCTTTTTCTATTAATTTTTCATCCTTAATTAAATTATATAACCTTTTTTTTCGGCGAACGTTAATTTAAAAAATTAAGTGGAAATATAACTTTATTATCTATTTTAATCCTTGCAGTAATTACAAAAATTTCGCTCGAATTTTATACCGTCACGATCCAAACTTCTGCTATTAAAGTGAATCGATGTGAATCGAGTCATTCACGAAATTCAAGAGAATTGGAACGCGTAATATCATCGATAAAAAGCGCTTTTTATCAAGTCGTTGATTTATTGCTATCCACGACTCGTAAATATCTCCGAACGTATTCCATTGGATTGGTGACAGGTTGCGAATCTAAAGAAGTGAGAAAATCTTGAACAACAACGCGAACCCCAATCGATCGGCGCCCTTGACACGTGCTCTGGTTACCCGTGGCAAGTCAATGCCAGAATAATTACAGACGGAAATCTACAGTGGCGAAATGGCTTGGAACGCGAGATATACTTGCTTAACTTTATTAAACATTATTACCAAACATATTGATAATCGTGCAGGCAATGCACTACTTATCTCAGTTCCACTTCAAATGTTAAAAAATTATAACTTTGCACCTCTCGACTTTGCAATT